ATGGAACATACCAGTTGGCACACAATGACATTAATTTATCAGCGAAAATAAGACATCTCGGAAGTGAAAAAGATATGGAAATATAAGGAAGAAGTAAAGTACGTATTCATTCTTTGTGATAAGAATCCATAAAGAAGTCAAAATACATTAACTGTTTACAAATTCTTTGAAATGGTGTCAGATTTCAAGTACTTTGAAATGTAAAAAACAAATAAGATATAATTTTCATGATGAAATTAAGAGAACTATGGAAATTCTGAATACTTTTCTCCTTGCCTTCTTTACTAGATATAAGGGAATGAAAAGCATAAAACTGTAACAGTACTCACTATATTGTGTGGATATAAAATAAAACAGCTGAACCATGCAGGACATTACATAATAAACTTTGAGTTACAGTGCCACCACCTGATATTATTATGGTTAGCAAATTAAGGAGACAATGGGTTAGGCAAAAAACTAAGAGAGAACAAGGGATTCATACAGAATTTTTGGTCAATTTAAAGACCAAGATATCAAAACTGATGCTAATAAAACAGGTTGTAAAGATGTGAACTGGACTAAAATGGCCCAGGATCATGTCTCATAGCAAATTTGATATCAATGGTGTTAAATCAACAGGTTCTATTACAGGAAACTTAGGTAAGAGTTGAATTACCTCTCCTTCTTCTCTCTTGAGTAGCGTTATTTCAAGCTTGTTCTCCAAGTCTTGTTGGCTCATTACAACTGCTGATTGGACAGGAATGAACCCCTCTGTGCTGCTATTCCAATGAGGGCTGGCATGTTTGGAAGGTGTGCTCAACACCATGTTTGAATCAATTGGTTGTATAACATGTCCAATTACCTCACCTACAATTGAGGAATGCTTGTGTGTGCCATGCAGCTGTTCCTTCACATTTTGAAGCTGCTTCATCAAGGTTGAAGTTTCCATTTGTAACTTTTCTTCCAATTCTTTTAATTGTTGCTGCAAAAATAATCAATAACCAAATACTGACATACTAAACAGATGAAAATCACTTGAACATGACACTAATTAACAAAAGTGCAATGATTACTAAATACAGTGAAACCTCGATGCATCGTTTTCGGCGGGGGTGGGAAATAAAAACGATAGATGCGGGAAAACGATAGGTGCGGGAAAGCATTAAAAATTTAAAAAAAAACAATGTTTCTCTTTCAAAGTTACTTCTTTTTACCAAAAAGGTCTTTAATGGATAACTGGTTTGTCGAAACTTTACGTTTTAGACCAAACAGAGCACTTTCCACGTT